AAGACGGAGCTTCCATTGGGGGCATGCCTAGGCCCAAGGTTGCCCCTTTCCTATTGGCGCAGCTGCTGACTTTCCTCCATGCAAGCTTCCAGCTTGCTTACCTGTTTTCAGATCAATTTTTCAGGCTGCTCTTCGTTAGAACAAAATGATATTTTGGGCAGCTTTTTGTTAGAAGGGAAGCTCTGCAGAGGAGTTTTTGCCCTCACTATCTGCCTAAATAATTTCTTTCTACTTCCTGTATCAGTTGGATATGGCAAGGGTGACCCAACTGATAGGATCAACTTTCACCACGGCAGAATTTTCAATTCACTTTATGTGCATTCTGAAAGTAACTAGAAAAGATACTTTTTATTGGCAAATTGTAAGGGTTTTGTTTGTTTGTTTTGAGACAGTCTCACTGTGTCACCCAGGCTGGAGTGCAGTGGTGTGATCCTGACTCACTGCAACATCCGCCTCCCAGGTTCAAGCAATTTTCCTACCCCAACCTCCTGAGTAGCTGGGATTACAGGTGTGCGCCACCACGCCTGGCTAATTTTTGTATTTTTAGTAGAAATGCCATTTCGCTATGTTGGCCAGGCTGGTCTCGAACTCTGGTCCTCAAGTGATCTGCCTGCCTCAGCCTCCCAAAGTGCTGGGATTACAGGCATGAGCCACCATGCCCAGCCAATTATAAAGTATTTTAAAATTGTTTATTATTTTTTTGAGATGGAGTCTTCAGTCTGTCACTCAGGCTGGAGTGCAGTGGCACTATCTTGCCTCACTGCAACCTCCGTCTCCTGGGTTCAAGCAGTTCTCCCGCCTCAGCCTACCAAGTAGCTGGGATTACAGGCATGCACCATTACTCCCAGCTAACTTTTTTTTGTATTTTTAGTAGAGATGGGGTTTCACCATATTGGCCAGTCTAGTCTTTAACTCCTGACCTGGTGATCCGCCCGCCTCAGCCCCCCAAAGTGCTGGGATTACAGGCGTGAGCCACCGCGCCCGGCCCTATAAGTTATTTTATACCTTTTCTTTGTTTTCTCTTTCTGTCAGGTATGGTTAGAAAACCTATAACATAGAGAGTCTTCAGAATATATTTGGATTTATTGTGGAGTCCTAATTAGGGAAAAGGAGTCTAGCTAGTGGGAACAGGGGGAAAGCAAAGAGATAAGGCAAATAAGCTATTTTAAAACTTAAACATTGAGTTACCATATCATCCAGCAAGCCTAGACCTGGGTATACATGCAAAACAAATCAGTATATGAAAAAGATCTCTGCACTACCATGTGTGTGCACTCCTGTTCACAATAGCCAAGATTTGGAAGCAACCTAAGTGTCCAGCAACAGATAAATGGACAAAAAAAAAAGTGGTGCTTACACACAACGGACCAATGTTCAGCCATCAAAAAGTATGGTATCCTGTCATTTGCAAAAACATAGAGGCAACTGGAGATCTTTTTTTTTTTTCTTTTGCTGAGACAGAGTCTCTCTCTGTCACCCAGGCTAGAGTGCAGCAGTGTGATCTCTGCTTACTGCAACCTCCACCTCCTGGGTTCAAGTGATTCTCCTTACTCAGTCTCCCGAGTAGCTGAGATTACAATCGTACACCACCACGCCCAGCTCAATTTTGGTGTTACTTTTGTTCATATTCCCCACATTTACTTTTATTTCACAGTACTTTTTATATCCTTACTATATGTGTATTTTTATTTTATGTAAATTAAAATGCATGCCATGTGTTCATTTGGGACATAAGAGAAAGACATTTAGAAGAATACAAGTTACACTTATCAATAGGGATGCAGGTTTGTCAGAGTGTGAAACTGCACTGCTATGGGATTCTCATCATGTTCACATAAGTAACCTAAGGCCGACTGCAGAGAGGATAACTGAAGTGGAAGGCGTGATTGTATGTTCTCAAATTGTATGATGTTTAATTCCATCATAAAATAAAACTGTAGATTCTTCAGCCTTAGCAACCTGATGGTGCATTGTTTGTGTTTAGACATGAAGGATCCTATAGAGATGAGATAAAGCTATGCAGGTAGATGGGACATAATTAACTCAGAGTTATAAAAAAATAAATTTTATTGACACATGAAATTTATGATACATTCTAAATAAAACAATAGAAAATGTAGCCTGGCCAACATAGTGAAACCACATCTCTACCAAAAAATACAAAAATTAACCGGACATGGTGGTGGTGCGCATGTAGTCCCATCTACTAGGGAGGCTGAGGCAGGAGAATTGCTTGAACCTGGGAGGCGGAGGTTGCAGTGAGCCATGATCGCTCCATTGCAATCCAGCCTGGGTGACAGAGTGAGACATTGTCTCAAAAAACAAACAATAGAAAATGTAATGCTGGCAGTTTAATGGGATTCCTAATCAAGAACATGCTATTGTGGTTTTTTTTTTTTTTTTAAAATAATTAAACTCTCCTCTTTGGACCAGATACAGTGGCTCACACCTGTAATCCCAACACTTTTAGGAGGCCAAGCAGAAGGATCACTTGAGCTCAGGAGTTCAAAACCAGTCTGGGACACGTAGCAAAACCTCGTCTCTACAAATAGAAAAAAAGAAAAAAAATGCTAAAAAATCCTCTTCTCTGTGATAACTATTCTTTTCAATTTCAAGATTAAGATCAATTTTTCCTCAATCTTGCTACATGACAGCTACTGCCATTCAATGGAGATGTGGCTAACATTTCCCCTGCATTACCTCTACCTTACATGTAATCACTTCCTATTAACGTATTAATCTCCTCCAGTAAAAACTGCAGTCTCTTGAGGTCTTGGATTGCTCTGTTTCATGATTGGTTGGTTAGAGCATTTCTTTCCTATAATCCACACTGGCCCTCTATGAAGAATGCCCTGTATGCAATAATATGACTGATATCACAGCTTTACATTATTCTCAGACCCTTACAAATCTTAATTCAGCCATTTTTTTCCTTTTTTTTTTTTTTCTTTGAAATACTCTCATCCAGGCTGGAGTGAAGTGGCACAATCTAGGCTCACTGCAACCTCCGCCTCACGGGTTTAAGTGATTCTCCTGCCTCAGCCTCTCATAGCTGGGATTACAAGCGTGCGTCACTATGCCTGGCGTGTTTTTGTATTTTTAGTAGAGATGTGGTTTCACTTTCTTGCCCAAGCTGGTCTCGAACTCCTGATCTCAGGTGATATACCTGCCTCGGCCTCCCAAAGTGTTGGAATTACAGGAGTGAGCCACAATGCCTGGCCCATTGTTGTTTTTGAGGAGCATCACAGAAGCACATACGTAGGCAACAATCTCCGTCTGGTTCTGTTTCCTTTTCTTTGTGTGTGTGTTTTTTTTTTTTTTTTTTTTTTGAGATGGAGTCTCACCTGTCACCCAGGCTGAAGTGCAGTGGCGCAATCTCGGCCCACTGCAAGCTCCGCCTCCTAGATTCAAGCAATTCTGCCTCAGTCTCCCGAGTGGCTGGGATTACAGGTGCCAGCCACAATGTCTGGCTAATTTTTGTTATTTTTAGTAAAGATGGGGTTTCACCATGCTGGCCAGGCTGTTCTCAAACTCCTGACCTCAAGTGATCCACCCATGTCCGCCTCCCAAAGTGCTGGGATTAGCCAATATTCAGCCAATATTTAATTTCAAAAGATAGTGTCCCTGTTTCACAGGAATATGGAGAGAAATGATCTCACCTAATGAAGTAGGCCATTTTTTCCTATTCTTGCCTATAGATCATGAAATGACTAAGAAAGACATCATAAAAACATTTCTAATGTCAGCTTGAAAGTTAACATTGGTAAAGAAGTCTTTCTCCTTCAATAATGTAATCAATTATTTTATGACCTGAAGGTAACTGGCCATTTCCAAATGTCTTTGAGTCTTTGATGTATGTCATGACTTTTAACATATTTTGAATTGTAATTATTCTGCAGAATGTAATATAAAAGATTAATGGCAGAGAATTAGACTTCCTATGAGCTCTCAGATGGATTATAGTCTGTGAATTGGTTAATTTACCATATCACTACATTTGTGTTTGTTCCACTATAATTTTTTTTTTTTTTTTTTTGAGATGGAGTCTCACTCTGTTGCCCAGGCTGAAGTGCAGTGGTGAGATCTCAGCTCACTGCAAGCTCCGCCTCCCAGGTTCAAGTGATTCTCCTGCCTCAGCCTCTCAAATAGCTGGGATTACAGGCACCCACTACCACACCTGGCTAATTTTTGTATTTTTAGTAGAGATGGGGTTTCACTATGTTGGTCAAGCCGGTCTCAAACTCCTGACCTCATGATCCACCCAACTCGGCCTCCCAGTGTGCTGGGATTACAGGCGTGAGCCACCACACCTGGAATCCACTATGAATTATTTTTTGAGACAGAGTCTCACTCTCTCGACCAGGCTGGAGTGCAGTGGCACGATCTTGGCTCACTGCAACCTCTGCCTGCCAGGTTCAAGCAACTCTCCTGTCTCAGCCTCCCGAGCAGGTGGGACTACAGGCGTGCACTGCTACCCCCAGCTATTTTTTGTATTTTTAGTAGAGACAGGGTTTCACCATGTTGGTTGGCAGGATGGTCTCAATCTCTTGATCTCATGATCCACCCGCCTCGGCCTCGGCCTCCCAAAGTGCTGAGATTACAGGAATGAGCCACTGCATCCAGCCCTCCAATATGAATATATATATATATATTTTAAAAGACGGAGTCTTGCTCTGTTGCCCAGGCTGGAGTGCAGTGGCACAATCTCGGCTCACTGCAAGCTCCGCCTCCCGGGTTCATGCCATTCTCCTGTCTCAGCCTTCTGAGTAGCTGGGACTACAGGCGCCCACCACCACACCCGGCTAATTTTTTGTATTTTTAGTAGAGACGGGCTTTCACCGTGTTAGCCAGGATGGTCTCGAACTCCTGACCTTGTGATCCGCCTGCCTCGGCCTCCCAAAGTGCTGGGATTACAGGCGTGAGCCACCGCGCCCAGCCTCCACTATGAATTTTTAATGAACCATGAGAATGCATCTTAGACTAGTGACCTTTCCAGATTTACTACATTTACTTGGTTTTTATTGAGTAGTTCTCTCATGACAAAATAATGAATATTACACTGAAAGGCTTATTACATTCATTATCTTTGTGTAGTTACTCTCCAGTATAAACCCTGTGATGTTCCAGTTTTGATGCTTGGGTAAAAGCCTAAGCATGCACATTCCCTTTGTATGGTTTCATCAAAAAAGTTTTTGATGCCTAGTAAGACTATGGCCTGCAGAAAATCTCTATCACATATAATTATCTAAAGGCTCTTTAGTATGGATTCTCTGATATTGATGAATGTTTGAAGTCATAATGGTTTCCCACTCAGTGTTTTTGTTTCTCAAGTATGAAATTTTGCAATATTGTACAATGTGAGAGTTGTGCCAGAAGACCTTGCCACTTTCATTACATTTGTTAGGTTTCTCACCAGCAAGAATTCTTTGAAAAATCCTGATCTCAGACTTTTACCTTAAGGCCTTGCCACTTTCAATACATTAGTAAAGTTTCTCTCCCCTATGGACTAGCTAATGGTTATTAAGCCTTGAACAAAACTAAAGGCTCTGCTACATTCATTATACTTGCAGAGTTTTTCTCCAGTATAAATTATTGTATGTGTTGCAAGGCTTTAATGCTGACTGAACCCTCTGCCACATTCATTACATTTGTTAGATTTCTCTCCGGCATGAAATCTCTGATGACCAACAAGATATGAACTGTCACGGAAAAGTTTGCCACATTCATTACATTTGAAAGGTTTCTCTCCAGTAGGGGTCACATGATGATTAGTAAGGCTTGAACGCACACTGAAAGCTTTGCCACATTCATTACATTTGTAAGGTTTCTCTCCAATGTGAATTTTCCGATGATGTGCTAGGGATGAGTTTAGACTGAAGACCTTCCCACATTCATTACATTTATAAGGTTTTTCTCCAGTATGAATTCTCCGATGATAAGCAAGGTATGAATTTTGACTGAAGACTCTGCCACATTCATTACATTTGTAAGGTTTCTCTCCAGTATGAATTCTGCGATGTTGTACAAGATGTGAATTTTGACTGAATGCTTTGTCACACTCATCACACTTATAAGGTTTCTCACCAGTATGAATTAGCAGATGTTGGGCAAGGTATGAATTGCGACTGAAGACCTTGCCACATTCATTACATTTGTAAGGTTTCTCTCCAGTATGGATTCTCCAGTGATTTGCTAGGGATGACTTGTGACTGAAGACCTTGCCACATTCATTACATTTGTAGGGTTTCTCTCCAGTGTGAATTCTCCGATGTTGTGCAAGGTGTGAAATATGATTGAAGACCTTTCCACATTCGTTACATTTGTAGGGTTTCTCTCCAGTATGAATGATCAGATGTTGTATAAGGTAGGAATTGCGACTGAACACCTTGCCACATTTGTTACATTTGTAAGGTTTTTCTCCAGTATGAATTGTCCGATGTTGTGCAAGGTGAGAAATTTGATGGAATACCTTTCCACATTCATTACATTTATAAGGTTTCTCTCCAGTATGAATTCTTTGATGTTGTGCAAGATGTGAAATTTGATTAAAGACCTTGCCACATTCATTACATTTATATGGTTTCTCTCCAGTATGAATCCTGCGATGCTGTGCAAGGTGTGAAATATTATTGAAGACCTTGCCACATTCGTTACATTTATATGGCTTCTCTCCAGTATGAATTCTTCGATGACTTGCAAGGTTTGATTTTTTATTGAAGCTCTTGCCACATATATCACATTTAAGCTGCTTCTCCTCAGTATGGATTATTTGATGTATAGTAAAATGTAAGCCTTGGTGAAAGGACTTGCCACACTCATTACATTTGTAGTGTTCCGTCCCAATGTTTGCTTTCTCTTTTTGTGTGAATAACGAATCCACAAAATTATATTCATGTGTATGAGAAACGTGGGTTTTGACAGTAGAAGAAATACCTTGGGGTGGGGAAACTAAGGAACTACTATTGACAGATTTTTCTGTGTGATCATATTTGTATATTTTCCTTTCAGCTTGAAATAGCTGCAGTTCTGGTAAGTGTGACTGTAAGTTTAATCCAAGTTGATTTTTAATAGGCTTGTTTTGTACATCATCCTTTCTACCATGCATGTCTCTTCTACCAATGAGACTTTCCTTATAGGTCACACACACTCGTTTGTAATGTCTTTCATCATGTCTCCACCGACATTGAGAGTCATGTACATTTTTCTGGGTTTCACTGAAGCAAAAATCTTCTATGTCGTGGCTTTCATGTCTTTCCAACATTACTGTCTGGAATATTTCTCCTGTATTACTCTCCTTTTTTGTTGGTAATTCCTTGATCTCATATTTAGAAAAAATACCTATAAGACATAAGGAACCCATAGTTTCCAATTAATTACAGATAGTCAATAAATATCTCCTATTGAAATATGTAATATTACACTAAGAGTAATACTTATGTTAAAGGAAATTATAAAACTCCCAATCATGATTTTTAATTTTTTGGAGAACAAAAGGAACAGATATTTTCTTTTCTTTTTAAGATGGAGTCTTGCTCTGTCGCCCAGGCTGGAGTGCAGTGGCGCAGTCTCGGCTCACTGCAAGGTCCGCCTCCCAGGTTCACGCCATTCTCCTGCCTCAGCCTCCCAAGTAGCTGGGACTACAGGTGCCC